TTTTCCTTCATTTTCACCACTCCTTAGTTGGTTTCTACCCCTTTATATTGTTTTCCATATCTGTTCCCCAAGTTGTATCGCCCTCTGCCTGACTCAGAAGTCCCTTTCACAGGGATCCAAACCCTTGAGAAAGTCCCTTTCTTTGTATTCCTTCCCTCTTTGCCCCAGCCTTCCACTTCATTACCATCATCTATGTGTGGAGAACACCGTACAGTCAGCCCTCTGTATCTGTAGGTTCCACATCCGTGGATTCAACCAACAGCAGGTCAAAAATATTTGAAAAAGAAATTCCATCTCTACTGAACATGTACAGACATATTTTTCTTGTCATTATTTCCTAAACAATACAGTATAACAACTACTTACCTGGTATTTACGTTGTATTAGATATTATAAGTAATCTAGAGGTGATTCAAAGTATACAGGAGGATGCGCATAGGTTATATGCAGATGCTACACCATTTTATATCAGGGACTTGAACATTTGTGGATTTTTGGTATCGGGGGGGTGTCCTGGAACCAATCTCCCATGGATATGCAGGGACGACTATACTGGTGTTAGGGGGAAAGGTCTGTGGGAAAGAGGGCTGCTTCTTCCCCAGGAAGTTCCCAGTCTAACGGGGGAGAGGTCATAGACAGCAAGAGAAATGCTGGTGAATGTATTCTAACCACAAATGACTATCAAAAACAGTATCCAAGTTCTCTCTTTTCTGTCTGCCTCTTCCTTCCTCACTTGCTTCTATTTCTCCGCAGGGTGATCAGGAATCCACAGATGCTTGTCTGCCTCCTACAGTGCCTGAAGCCTCAGCCGCACCACCACACCCTCTTATCTCTCAGAGCCAAACACATTTTGCATGTCAGCCTCTTCTTTCTCCCTCTGCACCTCCTTTTCAGCCACCCATTCCTAAGACCAGGCAAAATGGGAGTCANTTTCTCCCTCTGCACCTCCTTTTCAGCCACCCATTCCTAAGACCAGGCAAAATGGGAGTCAGGAAGCTCCAGAGACTCCCTTGACCTCAGAGCTGCAGCCTTTCCACCCCAAGCCTACAGTCAGTCCCCCTGAGTCCTCTAGGATGACACCTTCTCTAGTTTCCAGTACTGCCCTTGAGCCCCACCCTACTTTACCCACAGCCCAGGCTCTGAGCCCTGAGCCCACATCTCGGGCCACTCAGGGCAGGACATGTAGGTCCTCTAGCAAGACTCCTGAACCAGTTGTCCCCACTGCCCCTGAGCTCCAGTCTTCCACCTCCAAAGACCAGCCTGTCATCCCTTGGCCCACAACTCAGGCCTCTCGGGGCAGGACCCGTAAGTCTTCTAGCAAGGTCCCTGACCCAGTTGTCCCCACAGCCCCTGAGCTCCAGCCTTCCACTTTCAAAGACCAGCCTGTGACCTCCAAATACACATCTCGGGTCACTCGAAGCAGGACACATGGATCCTCTAACAAGACTCCTGAACCAGTTGTCCCCACTGCCCCTGAGCTCCAGTCTTCCA